TAAAAATAAAAAATAAGCCAAGCAAAAACCGAGGCTGGTGGTGTTCTAAGCTCTCCATCCGTTCAATCCATAGCGCCCAAGTCGTTGAATATTTAAGTTGCTGCTCTTTTGAGCTCACTTAATCTTTATCAATTTTATAATTATTAATAAATTACAACAAGAAACGAGCGAAACGTTCTTTGCGTGGCAAAACAAAACACTTTTCAGTACAGTATTGTGCTAAATGTATGCAACTGTATTTGCGCATATCTGAGAAGGGTTTTATTTTAGTTGCGTTTAAAATTAAATTCATTGATGAAGAATTGTGAAACATAAAAAGAATAAAAAGTTAAGTTCACCATAAAATATTTTTACAAAAGACCCAGAGAGTGACGAAAAGTTCAATCCCGTAATGTACGCAATATGAAGATGGGTTAGTGTAAAAAATAATCATTTCGATTGATAATTCTATGAAGTTTAGTTTTGATTTCAGAAAAGTTGTAAATCGCTCAGTTTTATATATATATTGTGCACTACATGTTCTGATTTTATTTAAAAATTTATATACGAGTATAGCTGTATTTTTTCTAATATATTTTCCAAGAAGCATACATTAGAAAACTAAAGATCTCTCTCCATGTATCATATATGTTTAAGTTCCGACATTAGCTTAGAGCAACAGGATACGAAAATTACTCTCAACGACGATATACATTAATATATAGGGTGTTTTTTAGACGTTTTCAAGAAGAAGAAAAAACACTTATAATATTTAAATGGCCAAAAATTTAGCTTAATTTCGAAGTAAGGGTTTGCCATTACGTTTTAAAAATGAGGAACTCCAACCCATCCTTTGCCACACTTGAATGATCGTATCTCGGCAATAACACGTCTTCAGCTGCTCTTCTTATATTCTCTTCAAAGACGTCAAAGGTCTCGGTCTTATCTGCGTGGGCAACATAACCCCAAAAAAAAATGTTCAACGGTGTTAAATCACATAATATTGAAGGACACGTACTCACAATGCACTCATCAAAAGCTTCCTTCAATAAATTGTTTGAATTATTAATCATGGTTCTATAACGTTCTCCTTTAACTATAATAACATAAGGTCGGCTTCATTTTTGAAGAAATACGGACCAATGAACATACCAAACAATGACTTTTTGAAAAATGGCTCATGGAATATCATCACCCCAAATGCGAAAATTTCGCTTATTAACATATCCATTTAACCATGATAGTACGCGCTTGAAGGCGTCAATGCTTGCACAAGTTGAATTTTCTAAGCCCACAAACCAAGATTCTTCCGCAAAATCGTCCGTTAAGTGCACGAGCACACGTTCAATTTTGGCGCGATGGCTCCGAGATCATACAGATCTCCTTCGATACTCCGCTCCACAGCAGCAATAGCGTCTACTTGAGTAAACGAGATGGTAGTACGATGCATGGTTGCTCGATTTACCGACACTGCTGGACGATTATGTCGTTAAATTATTGAATGCAGCGATTCGAATCTTTATTTTGGTAATCAATTTGCTCCTCAGTAAATCTGTTCGTTATGAAGTGGCAAACTGAACTGGGTATAAATCAAGGAACAGCTGCCAAAAATTCTAACTCCGAAAAAGAATTGCCTCATTGCAAACCACATGTCTACAAGCAACACCCTGCGCATTAAATATTATAATTTTACTTAAAAATTAATAATAAAAAAAAAAACATTTTAAGGCTATAACGGATGACTTTAGCGATCTTGAAACCCGTTTCGGCGGTTTAAGGCTCCCAACTGTGAATCATACCGTGTTTCACTAGGCATTGCTGTTTTAATTGCCAATTTCATTTTGGAATAATTCTGAAACTTCCAAAGATGTATTTTTAAAAAAGAAAAATTCCTTGTGTACGAGTATTTAAAAGGTCTTTTTGAGCGTTGTAACGATATTGGCTGCTGAGCTGCAGAACACTTTTTGAATATATCTTTTGCGGATTCATAAAAGGCATTCAAAAAAATGTAATAATAAAGTAAATAGAAACTGCATTTTATGCATATTTTTTGCACAATATTATACGCTTGTTTGGCGTGTTCTCTCTCCAAAGTAAAAGCTTCAAATTTATTCACACAGCCTACCCTCAGCTTACTTAATACCCATATACGGTTGAAAGTGTAGGAAACTGGTCATTGCAAGTGTCGAAAGTGATATTTCTATATTAAATAATTAAAAAGTTTCAATTAAATCCTACATTAGCTCACCAACAACATAAATTTGAATGGAAAGTTTCAAACTATAAGATTTTGTGTGAGAATTTTCAAATGGGAAAAAGGTTGAATAATAAAAAAATTGCCAAAAAATATCAGCGATTGAGTAATAATAAGACAGAGATGAGCTACGACGAGGTTGTGAAATAAAAAAAAAAATGCATTTATTAAATTAGAAAATAACTGAAAATCCGCTAATTCAATTTAAAGAGAAAGTGATGCTAATTTTCGATTGATAAGAAAGTACATACATACATACCTGTATTAAATACCTAGGTACATATATGTATATGAGATCCGCATTCCAAGCTTAATAATAAACGAAATGAAACACAAATTAAAAGATAAAAACCGAAACTTTTCACGAGCGTCGTTGTTAGTTTTTCCTTTTTGCTCTAATCTAAGGAAAGGTGAAAGCTTATTTTTGTTTGCGGAATGGGTGATAAGGGATGAAAATAAAAAGGCCAAATTGTCCTTGCCGTATAGATTTCTCAGATCTTTTAATTTATTTTTATCCTTTAAAAATTTTTTTTCTACATGGTGATATATCTTTTAACCGTCGGCTCTGGGCTGAGTGTGGGTGTTTTAAAATATCGAGACCCGCCTCATGTAGAGCAGCCAAAGCAACGCGGCTCTTGTGGACCGAAGCAAAAGCACCACACCTTTAGTCAACTTTCCAGGTCTTCTCTCTACAATGGTTGTTTTAGACGCTCTAATATTGAAGCATAGTATTCTTCCAGTTATAGAAACATTTTTAACTCTATAATCTATCCATAATATTCCTTCCGAGTCTGAAAAAACCATTGCCATGAGCTTCCTAGCTTACTGTGACATCTAACATTTTTTATGGGAGATGCTGTGCCCTTTTTCTGCCACTGCATAGCGCCTTATTTCCACTAAAGTTTAGGTAATGATGCATTCAAGTTACATCTCCAGGAACAATTCGACTCTATACACCATTCTTCTCTTCATTACAGCGGTTCAAAAATGCACACTCTAAGATTTGTTGTTTTTGTGGGGCATGAGCGTTCTCGGCATCCATCTTTGGTTGACCTTAGTAATGCCAATATGATCGTCGAGAATAATTTTTCAACTTTTTTGGATAAGTTCGCGACTTCGGGTCGTCTTCAAGAGTTTCCCTTCCTTGTTTAAATAAACTATGCCACTTGTACTTCATGGTTTTCTCCGCCGCAAACCAATCTCGTCTCATTCATCATGGTCAATGGTCATTCAACTGATTTCCCTTGCTTATGCGAAAAAAAATGCTCATATGCCCATCTAAGATAGTAGGTCACAAAGGCTTTTCTATGGGCTTAGAGTCATTAGAGAAAACAATTTTGTTTATTTTTTTTTAGTTTACAAAAAGGGTGTACGCTAGGTGGCACCAGAGTCGAATGAATATATTGAGGACGAATTCGTTTTATTTTCGGAATTATTTGAAGATTTTCCTAAAAATGGATAGAGAAACAATTCAATTTTTGAAGCACCCCTTCATAGCATATGTATGTATGTATGTACGCAAGCATTAAGTACCTTTTCGCACCTACTTTTCAAGAAGAGCACAACAAAATAAACTGAAAAGAGCCGTCAAAATACATATAATATTCGATTCGCTCTAAGATGAACAATTTTTAATAAATACCCACAATTAATACATACATACATATGTATAAGTGCATACAGTGTATGAATAATTAAAAGCATTTTCACATAAATGCCGCAGTGCCCTTAATTAATCAAAAACATTAGTTCGCCACACACAAACCGAGCGAAAACCGCAAGCGCTGTGAATCTAGAGCCAAATCTAATATAAAGCCATAAACATAATAAACACACATTCAAACAGTGCGCGCACACACATAAAGATCTTTCCTTCGCGTACGCTTGGTGGCAAGTATATTTGTGCGTCGACATGTTCGCCACCTTGCGGCATCTCGTTGGTGGCGGCAGTGGCGCTGCTCAAGCGGACTCACGCACACATGCACAGGACCAAGTGTCGCCGCCAACGAAAAAGCCAACCAAATTGTCAAAAAGATTGCGACAACAACAACAACTTGAGCAAATGCAACAAATGTTGTTGCTCGACAACGAGACCTATTCCAATTTGCGTTATGAGCGCACCAAACTCAGTCACAGCAGCCTGCTGCTGCACCAGATCACCCAAGACAGCAGTAGTACAGCGGACGGGTGCCACGATGCAACGCTCGACGCCATTGTACCGTTAACATTCGCATCAGCGGCCACACCGATAATAGTGCCCAGTAATAGTGGTGGTGGCTTTAGAGCCACAACAGCCTACGACGAAAAGACTTACGAGAAGCTAACGACTGGAACACGTCTACTTGCCAAATCGACGTCACCAGCGCCACCGCCGATACAGTCGCTGACGTCAGCGCTGCAAACGCGCTCATCACCGCCACCATCCACAACGGGCAGCTTGCCACCTGCACTGAACGGTGTTGGATATTCTTCGTATTTACCACACGATTACAGTCTCTGCGATTCGTGTCGTCCGTTGCGTTTTCAAAATTCCCTCGCCAAATCGGGTAGTCCCAGTTCAGTATCGCAAAAGAGTTACGGCGCTGTCTCGACGCGTTATCTCAATTTAAATTCGAGTTCGAGCAATCGTTTCAATTCGCTGCCGCCGTCTTCGATCTTGACACCAACACCGCCGCCACTACCACCACCACCTGCACAGCATCAATCGTCGCCGTCTCAGCCAACGCCACAATCGTTTCGATCCTTTCATCCTTTTTCTCGTTTTCAGCCACGACGCACAACCAGCGCCAGCATGTCTCAGTCCGGTGATGATCTACATTCGCCCAGCTATCTGTCATGGCGCAAGCTGCAATTGAGTCGGGCAAAACTAAAAGCGTCCAGCAAGACGTCGGCACTGCTATCCGGCTTTGCCATGGTGAGTATCCCAATTAAAACAAAAGAAAAATTGAGTTTGATGAAAGCAGAAAAGTGAAGACGGTGATAACTTTGTGTATAGCTAACGGTGTAGACAAACGTATTTTGTTGAAAACAGGAAAAATCTAAACTCATCTCGGCACCTAAGATTGGCGTTTTATTGAATCTTGTCACTCACAGAAATATTTAATTCAATTTCAATGGTTCGATATGAGAAGAACACATACCAGTTTTTGTATGTATGTATTGTACATCTGTGTATGTTTGCACCTTTTACTTAATTAAATTATATTTCTATTGCGTTCCTATAAAGTCAGTCGAAACCTTGAACCCTTTGTGCAGATATAAAATTCCCCAAGTCGTTTGGTATTTATAGTTGCAAATACATACACATAGACATATGTACATATGAGTGTACGTACATATGTATGGACCCGATGTTCATCTTGTAGTTTTGCAAAGCCAATCTATTGTACTATCACACTTTCATCAGTAAAGCGAAAATATAAAAAACAAGTGATGAAGAGCCAAACTCGCGTGGAATGTGCGGTTGTTAATCGTCTGAAATTTTTAAAGATGTAAATCAGTGGAAAAAGAAATGTGTGTCTTTAAGAAACAATCGTGATATCACAGTGAAAACCCCGAACGAACTTAGGTCCAGGAGTAAGTTTTTTCTCAACCGATCTACCATCGCATAACTAAGAATAGACTTTGTTGGTACATGCCTCGCTTTCAGGAAGCTGTTAGAAGCATTATCTTCCAAGAAGGTTTCCTCTCAAAACAGGACGCCACTACAGAGCTACCAATATCATTATGGAGACGAAGTTCTTAGGTCGTCAAGAGAAAACACTCTTGCAACCAAGGACCACAGAATAGCTAAAATTATATATTAAACGTAAGACGCGCAGCTCCTTAGGGAGCGTCCATAAAACACGTTGAAAGGTGGTGGATAAGTTTTGTAAACTACGTTGTGTGTGAAAATTCACAGTAAAGACTTCACGCTTTTGAACGCTCTCTTACTAGCAGCAAAAAGAGAGTCTGTCCAGACGGCTTGCAAAGGTAGGCACGATCAATTTCCTGTTGGTTTAGCATGCCTTCAAATTAGATGTGCTTCAAACAGCAATAAACAAACGCCTCCTTCAATTAGCTATGCGAGGCTCGCCCGCTCAACCTAACTTAAACTACATCGTCGAGGACGGCGAAGCTCAGTTGAAAGTAGCCAAGACGATATAAAGCACGAATTGCATTCACATAACCTCATTTTTATTGAAGAGTGCATAAGTTCGTGCCCGATTTCAAGTGCAAACTAAAATTGAAATTTTTTGAAGAAAGCACTTTTATTAATCAATTATGTATTCGCCATCATGTTCGCCAATCCACTCCCAACGTTCAACCAATTTACGGATGCCTGATTCATAGAAATCGCACGGTTTCTCGTTGAAAAAGGTGTCAAGGTGGTTTTTGACGTCTTCCACATTTTTAAATTTTTTTCCATTCAAATTGTTCTGCAGCGATCGAAACAAATGATAATCAGAAGGTGCAACATGTGGGCTGGCGTTGTCATGATGGAAAAGAACTCCTTTGCGATTGGCCAAAATCGGACGTTTTTCATCAATTGCTTTCTTCAATTAGAACAATTGCTGACAATACTTGTTGGCAGTGAACGTTTCTCCAGCTGGCAAGAGCTCAAAATAGATCACGCCTGGGATATCCCACCAAATGCACAGCAGTACCTTCATCGGATGCAATCCACCTTTCGACATCGGTTCCGCCCCTTCGTGTGCCTGTTTCCATGTTCTTTTGTGTTGAACATTGTTGTACAGGATCCATTTTTCATCACCAGTCACGAGCCGATCCAAAAAAGGTTCGTTTTTGATACGTCGGAGCAAAGAAATTGCTGTTGACATACGGTCCACTTTGTTTTTTTCACTCAATTCACTGGCAACCTCTTTCGTCGAAATACGTGAGTTATTCGCAACTAAAGTCCTTAGAACATCGTCATCAAGCTCAGAAGGCCGTCCACTGCGAGGTTGATCTTCGAGGTTAAAATCTCCAGAACGAAATTTCGCGAACCATTTCTTTACTGTGCTGAGTGCTGGAGCACGGTCCAAATAAACTTCGCGAATATCTTTAGTTGCAGCGCCTACTGTTTTTCCTTTGCGGAATTCGTATAACATAATATGACGCATATGATCTTTTTCGTTGTCCATCTTCCAAGCGTCTTTTCACTAAGCAACTCAAATCAAAATGGAGTTATTTCATGCTTGATTTACAGTTCGAACTGTCACCTTTCCAACGATATATAATATGTATATATTTCTTTCACGAGCGCCACTCTCAAACGATTCGAACGGCATCCAGCGGATTCGGGCACGAACTTATGCACTCATCCAAGATATGAAGGTGGTGTGATCATTTTAATATTTTAAGCTCCATATCAAAGACAAACCTTAGTAGAAGAAACTTAATATATCCCAGCAGATAACGTACAGCCGGGTATATGAAAGGCAAAAGAAATTTGCATGTCCTCCACGAACATGAACTTTGGTCCGGAGTATTTATATAACATAAGGAGAAGAGAGAGATCCACCAAAATTTATGTCAAGTAAATCTGAGCGACGATTTAAGTTAATTTAGCCATGTCCCTCCCTCAGTTTTTGATGTATTTCTACCAAATTTAGTTTTTATTGCAGTTGTAATATTTAATCATAGAAAGCAATACGATAAATTTGAGATGTTCGTGAAAGGTATAAAGACTCCGGCACGGCCGCAGACAGCTCTTGTTTCTTGTTATTTGTACATTTGTCTATGGCTTGGTGATGAATTCGTTTTAATTAAATTTATAGAAACAACTTCCTGTCCCTCGTTGCTCATACACATGGCTGCGTCCACCCGGTTCCCAGTCAGTCATGCTAAGATTTTACGAAATTCACTGAGCATTGCGTTGATACTTGCCTTGCGCATGGTTTATTTTGTCTTACGTTTGTTATTTATTTGTTATTCTTAGGATTTGGCAATGCAATGTACAGAGTGGATTCATTCTGTTTTTTCATGCGCGACCATTCAGCAAGTAATCTTCTATTTTATTCTTCTTCTTCTATGCAATAACTAAGGGCATGTATACATATGAATATGTATATATGTTCTCGTGTATGTAGCTATGTATCATGGGTGACACTTGCATCAAGTTAAGTAAGCACCTGATTGAAATTATTTAAAAAAAAACAAGCGTTGAAGCTGACACTGTTTATAGAAAACGAAATTAATTAGTAACAAATTTAAATTTATATTATGATTGATAAAAAACCGTTGACGATGTGGAACTAAGAATATCTTTACTTTTAAATAGAAAACCGAAGTCTCTTAAACTGAGACTCTGGCTGGCGCTCAAACAGACTTCATATATATATATGAGCGTATGTTAGAATTTGTCTTAATTAAAATAAAATGAGTTTATTCCACGCGCTGGTTATCTGCAAAGTGGCCGTTATCCACGCTCTTCATTTCGTTATATTCACAAGTCTGACAAAATCCAGCTTCTTCACACTTACCTTAAAAGAGCTTGGTCAATTACGCAGTGTTTAGTGTTTGGAAAGGAGTTAATTCAAAAATGTAACCTATTTCAAAAATAAAAAAATGTCAAAAATTGATAAAAAATGTCTTGAAAATTGATATGCCCCTAGGTCAACGCAATCGATTTCATGCTCCATTCAATTAAACTCAATTAATCAATTCAATTTGTAAATTGTGCATCAAATATTTTATACGCACTTATACAAATGCTTACTCTTTTACAGGTCGCAATGGTCGAGGTCCAATTGGACAGCAACACAAAAGTGCCCGCCGGCATGCTCGTCGCCTTTGCCATCTGCACAACGCTACTCGTTGCCGTCCACATGCTGGCACTGATGATCAGTACATGCATATTGCCAAATATTGAAACCGTTTGTAACTTACACAGCATCTCCCTGGTCCATGAATCGCCGCATGAACGCCTGCATTGGTATATTGAAATAGCGTGGGCATTCTCTACACTACTGGGCTTAATACTCTTCCTACTCGAGATAGCCATACTTTGTTGGGTGAAGTTTTATGACTTAAGTCAACCAGCCGCTTGGTCGGCATGCATCGTACTTATACCGGTAATGATTGTCTTCCTGGCGTTCGCGATACATTTTTATCGTTCGCTTGTTACACACAAATACGAGGTAACCGTTTCGGGTATACGTGAACTGGAAATTCTAAAGGAGCAAATGGAGCAGGATCACATCGATACACATCATCACCATCTGCATCGGAATAATGGCTTGAATTATGGCGCAAGTGGTGAAATAGTTTAGGCAAATTCGTTGGTGATGTTTGTTATGTTGAATTTGTTACACATTTTGCATAAATATTTGCACTGGTAGGCAGACTTTATTTGTATGTATGTATGGAGGACTTCATACATTTAGTCGATAAAGTTCTTTTTATACGCTACTTTTTACACGAATATAGACATTGATAACGATTAACAAATAACAAATAAATGCAATGCACGTATGTATGCATATATATAGACATATATTTTTATGTAGGGTATTTTTGTTATTATATTAATGTATGTAAACGAAAACTTAATTGAATTGAATTCTTAAAGAATTCAAATACAATTGTGATATTGGTAAATGCGTTTTGATATAAATTGTAAAATGCATTTTGGCATATCTTATTTTAATTAGAGCTTAATTTAAAATTGTAAAACAATATTTCTTTAGTTAAACTTTCGCTGTAAGCTTAAAGTAAGCATTGCACTAAAAAAAACTTAAAAAATGCAGGTCTATTGTCCACAATCCCCGCCAGAAGAAAATGAAAAAAAAACTTCATGCAAGCGGAGGGTTCAAGTTTTGGTTATCCCACAGTAAGAAAATGCTTTTTTGAAAATTTTTCATAAAACCATACGAGTTACTGAGCAAGAATTAACTAATTTCAATAACAATAAATATCTAATGTAAAGTTACACTGTTATATTATAGCAATTCATAAAAAATAAAAACTAATTCTTATTGCTTTAAATATACTTTAATTTGTGAAATTTCAACTAATTTGAAACTTATTGGGATTGTGTTTTGAGGAAATTGTTTTTGAAATTTTAAGGACATTACAAATAAAAGTATTTCCTTCATATGATAACCGGAAGCCTAATATTAAGTAATTTTAGATTTTGTTGGTAATTTTTTTATTTGCTTCATTTTTACAAGTATTTTTGAAACACTCTAATACAAACAGGATGTGAATTACCTGTAATTATCTAAATAACTGAGAATATAAAAAAGACGTAACCGTATTTCAGGAAAAATTTTACATTGCTTCTGAACAATGTGACTTGAAGCAATTTTTAGGTTATAGACTTCACTATCAACTAATGAACTTTATATGAATAATTTGCAAAATTACTTAAATATCTTAATTGTACTTGTTTTATAATATTCTAATTTTAATTTTGATCTAAGAAATCGTAATTAAAAGCAATAACAGAACATCAAACAAATTTTGAATTTATTTAGCAGAAAAAAACGACAAAGTTGAAATTTACCCTGCAAGAACGGGCTAATGGGTTCACCAATACACTCACACGATTTCGGTCAGCACTAACACATAAGCAAATTGTTCTGTTTATCTTTCTCTTCTGAGTACATACAAACTACAAGAGAATGTAGTTGAACGGATTGTCCGATTTTCTTTGTTTTTATTTTCGAGTAGAACGCCATTTTTTTTATCGTTTTCTCCGCAGCAGATAGAAGTGAAAAATATATATTGAGGATCCTGTACAAGCTCTGGTAATATATTATTGATTAATTAACTATGTACTTAATTTTACATTTGTTCATTTAAGTGCACTGCATATACGGAGAATTCAGCTAATGGAGCAGATTGACTGGAATGGACGCTTCTCACTTTGCAGCAACAGCAGATTGAAAAATATTCAATAAAACTGTGCGAGGTACCACTGCATTTGGATATTAATAACATTCTGATTCGAATATTCATTTTTTTATTTTACTTAGACATCTGTATACAAAGGACCCGCGATTATGACGGAGACGTTCGTGGAGCTGAGGAGCTGCGACACCATCGTTTCGTTTTTGCTTATAATATTTTTTGAATTATTTTTCAAAACGAATTTATTGTTCTATGTTATTTCTCTTTTATGCTAAACATGTACATGTATTATGAAAAATATTGAAATAAAGACTGAATCTTAATAATAAAGCTCCTCACAAAAAACCATCAGCCGTTCGGAGGTGGCTTAGTATAAACTGTAGGTCCCTCCATTTGTTGGAAAAACATCAAGTCGCAAAACCAACAAACTAGTCAGAAAAAAGAATAAAAGTAGAATTTTGCAAACTTTACCATAGATAGATAGGATATGAACCGCGACCAGTGGTCTCTTGTGCCCTCCGATTTCCTCACATTACTTCAACCAGACTTAATGCCACTATAAAACTAATCAGACTAGAGGGGCTTATCGATTTCATGTGGTTCTCCTTCGCCTGAACGGCTCCTAGGTGTTTGTGCCTTCTTGCTACAGCTCCGCATTCAAATGTGATGGGCACCGGCGTTTCTGCTGCTAGCTCACAAAATCTGCACGTTTCATCAGAGCATATTTCGAGCCTATACATGTGCAATGGCCTGTAAGAAATCCTATTAGTATTCTGTAATTATCTTATTCAATAATATTATATTATTAAATGTTTTGGTATTGTAGCCGTTTATGAGTTTCTTCGATTGCCTCACTTTCGCTGTAATACCAATAGCTTCTTCTTATACTTATTTCCTCCCTTCTTATCTCTTCTCTGATTAAGTGGGGATGTAAGGGGAAGAATGGCTCTGGTCCAGTGGTTTGCAAGTCTATCTGCTATTTCGTTTCCTTCAATACCCGTGTGTCCCGCAACCTAGATGAGCTGAAATTTGTTTCTTTCGCCCACTCTATTAAGGTTCTTAACATATTCCCATGCCGTATATGATTTAATTATACATGACGACATTCTTTTCAAGCGGCTTGGCTATCGCTGCAAATTACTATTTGTTGGTTAACGATTTTCCTTTGGAGAATGAGCTCTGCGCATTTTGTGATGGCAAACACCTCTGCCTGGAATATACTAGAGTATTTCCCCACTGGAGTCGATATTGTGGTTCTGGGTCCAATGACCCCCGCGTCTATTCCATCAGTAGTCTTGGAGCTATCTGTGTACCTCACAAGAGAGTTCGGTTTTATTACCTCCTGTACCTGAGTTTGGTTCCATGTTCTTTTTTCCCCCAGGGATATCTTGAACTTGGCATTGAAACTTGTTATCTTAAATATTTCATCTCAATTAAAATTTGCTGGAGGAATTCTTTCTTTTATCTCTGTCCCTTTTCTTGGCTGATATGATTTTACCTTACCATAGTGTCTTAATTATTAATCACACAGCACAGCATTTATTCTAATCTAGAATATTTTCCGCGAAATGCGAAAAAATTAAAAAAATATCAAATGTATATTTTCACTTTTATTAACCGGATATTATAACGGCTTAAAAAATTCAATATACGCCTATAATCATGCTACATATTTTCAATAACTTGGTAGCACTGGTATACTGATTGAATTTTTTGGCATTTCGTTATGTGTTATGTTTCTTGGAGTATTTTGGCAGCACTAAAATATCAAGAAATGCATAAATAAGAAAATTCAATCCAATTAATTTCACAGTCTTTTTTGACATTTGACTAGAAGAGGTTAAAAACTTCCAAATCTTTGTGCGTTTTTCTCAACAAAACCAGTTTTTAAACAAAGCTTTACAAAGCAAGCGAATCGATTTTCGATTTTTTTTTGTTCAAGTGAATATAAGTTGCAACCATTACGTGTAAACATGCCATCTAACATGAATAATAAACTGTAAGTAAAGAGGAAGTGGTAGTGATTGCGATGATAAATCCAATAAGAAAAATCATTTGTAGTGAAATAGAGAATTAAGTTTATCTGATCGACGAAATTTATATCATCAGTGCAAATTATTTATTTGTCAAAATGATTATGATTGCTTCTATATATATAATATATGTATATATCTCGTTCCAAAAATGATGGCAAAATTATAATGGTTGATTTTTTTGTAATGATGTGGTGTGGTTGTGTTACTAAGTGAACAAAGTTGACATAAACTACTTAGCTGGCTGAAATATAATGTGGGACTACTGTAGATTATTGTGGTGGTGGTGGTGATGAACAAAAATAAAAATCCGTTATTTATTAATAAATTGCCAAAAAAGAAAAAAATTAACAAACCTTGTATCCCCTTCCCATCCTCCTAATACACGTGTTTTTAATAAATTCTTCACGTGCGAATAATAATAAAATATGCACTTTTGTATGAAGAACGTGAATGTGAATTTGCATGATATATGTATGAACAAGTGGAGGTCGTTCGTAAGTAAAGTAACGAAATAAATATGCATTTCAAATACTTCGTTGCCTTACGTTGTTTTTTCTTTGAAATTTTATTTCTTTACTTTATGATTACCAAACGAATATGTATGTATGATTGTAGTATGTACTTTTGTATTTGCCACTGCCATCGCAATAATTACGCGTTCGGGTAGTGTTTTTGTTTTTGTTTCTCTTTATAATGTTTATTTCTGCCTATTCGATCTCTATCAACTTCGTTGCGCCACCATTTCATTTTACGAACAAACATATATGTAAATACATACACATGCAGAGGTATGTGAACCCGATAGGCTACGTACGAAGGCGTATCCGATTTGTTTGTACCCAAGTATATAATGCCATCTATATGCATAGATACCGGATCGGTATGAAAAGACTAATATACAGTTTTTTTTTTCAAACATACATGCATACATACATATGTGTCTTTCTTTGTGTTTCGCTATATTTATTTCTTCTGTCATCCTTTTTTGAGGTTATGTGGCCTTTTAAGATATACTACAATATACTTATATGTACATAGTATACTCACGCGTACACATGTTTGTGTGTATATTGGCGTTAACTTAAACATAAATATGTATATTTGGAAGTTGTTATCGCTTCCAATTAGAATTTTCTGGTTTTCGCTGATAAAAGCTCAGAACTTGTTTTCATGGATTTTTTTTATTGTTTTTGTTTTTGTAATGTGAACTCAGAAATTAAAACTTTACAATTTTAAACATGTTAAAATTTATTTTCTTTTATTTTTTTCAAATTTTAATTTTTAATAGAATTTTATAAGTTTATACACATTTTACTGTGGTTTAAAGTAGCAGTATCTGTAAAATAGCCAGCCGTGTTATGTGAACGAATTCAGATCAAACTTGAAAATTAAATTAATTTTGAATGTTGAAAGAATTATTTCCGTAAATACATAGTTCTTAGAATATGAGAATATATTCTTATTAAAAAATGGGCCGCAGCAAACACTGCACTGTTGAAAAACGAAAACTTATTAAAAAAATTTCATCGGTAAGGGAAAACCTAAAAGTTGATTGCAGATTTGCTTGGGTGTTTAGCCATACTGATTACTAATGCAAAAAAGTTGACACCAACTCGTGAAAGAATAATACGGAAATATGGTCTTTCTCAGACAGAATTGAGAAGAAGTTGTGGCTTTGGCTCGAGAAAAGTCACTTTGTACCTCAAAACAAATAAAATAAAAATATGAGCTAAACCTTTTCGTGAACTTGTCCGCAAAACTTTTTGTAAGGACTGCATTACGAGTGCCATTACTTCAACACCGACATTTGCAGACCAGAATTGAATTTTCCGAAGAACACAAGCTTCGACCAGTCCAGAAAACCGTAATATTTTATGATACCTTTCCCCGGATTGTAAAACATGGCGGTGCAAATTCAATGTGTGGGTGTGCTTCTCTTACTATGGTAAAGGTTCGATATATTTTATAAAGGAGAATATTCAGAGTGTAAGATGCCGCTGAAATAGCTCTATCAAGAAGACAACGCCCCTAATCATACTAGCAACTAGGCAAAAAGTTGGGGGGATGAGTTCAATGACTGGTCGGCGTAGTGTACTGACCTCGATCCTATTGAGAATCTTTAAGCAGATGTAAAGGAAGAGGTAGGGAAAGGGAATCTATCTAATATGAAAAAATGTGGACAGTAGTAAGGAATGATGGCTTCATTTTTAAAAAAGAAATATATTCTAATACTTTAAAAACCAAGTATTTACGGACATAATTCCTACAGCATTTAAAATTAACTTAACTTTTTCAAGTTAGACCTGATTTCACAGTAAAATAGTACTGCGTAGCACAACAAGTAACGGGATTTCATGAAAGTTGTAACTACATCAGAAATTAATTTAAATACGGGGCAGTAGTATTCGGGCCTACATTCTAGGAATGATAATTTTAAATTACGGGCGTTATTTAAATGTAAAAAAATCATTACTTAAATTTCCGTTAACCATTGCTATTATTACGCACAGAGTTGTAAAATTCGCACTATGTCACCGCTGAAATAATTTTCGGCCGAGCTCCTCCTCCAATTTATGGTTTTGCCCTGAAACGAACGAAAAACCTATAAATTCATTTTCAGACCGAGAAGACGATCAGAAAATTAACACTTGTAACAATATATAATTCTATTGAGTGCCTGAAATTAATTTTATTTCCATTACTTTTAAGAAAATATTATGTAAAGACTGAGTTTTTTGTGAGTACATTTTTTATTATATGTTTTTAATTTTACAAATTTTAATAAAGCAAAAGTCAAAAAAAAATGTATGTCAGTTTGTTAACATTTTTGTTTGTATCATGAATTGTCCTTTGGAAGAAATGCAAAGAAAACACAGATCCGTATAAAAATTTTAAAATTGTGTTACAGATAATATAGACAAAATTATATGTTTGGGGAAAAAATAGGAAATTTTTTCATTGATTTCAGTTGCATCTCTTTCACACAATACTGTATTTACAAAGCTTAAATGTAATGCGCTTGCGTTCATAATTTATGTAGTAAATATTCTAGAAAGTTACGAATCGTTAAGCTATCTAAGAGCTGCATTTACTGCGGACGTGACTTTAGTCAAAAGTTAACGCTCACACGAATACATGTGTATGTATGTATGTTTGGTTCGTAACAATAAATGCCTTTATGACTTTATCTTCTCTATTGTAAACATTAACGAATCTCTCGTGCATGTTTACATATGCATTTCTGTACATACGTGTACATATACAAATATACAGATATCCTCCATATGAATGGACCTATGTACCTGGGAGTTTGAATTTTTTCTGTGACATAAGGGAGATTTAAATGCATTTGTATGCCCGTAGATACGAATATTTTATTGATGTTTCAATACTTTCAATCTCTTTATTAATGTATTTATTTGGATTTCTCCTATTTCTATTTGTAATTCACCTTCTCCACTACTTCCACACACGCTAATGGAAATTTCCACAGGCCGATTCGAGTGAAAATAGCACATACGATGAGGAATTGTGGCGTAATTTCTATAATAATATAAACAAAAAAGCAGTTAATTTCGTCTTAGGTTCAATATTATTATTATTATTATTATTTTTTATGAAACTTTTATTTTTTAAAATGCTTGAATTTTGCACCGAGAATCCGATTAGCCTTTCAGAGTTAAATGAAATACATATTTCATCCGATAAGTTATATCTTTAGAGTTTTATTTCTTACGCGATAAGAGTGTATATATTTGTACATGTTTGTGCGTACATATGTATGTATGTGTCATAAGTGCAATAACGGCGCAATGCATATAAATTTATTGATAACCTCACTTTAATAACAACACTTTCAACTTAAATGAATAACCCGTTTCATGTTTTCTCTTCTAGAAAATAGTCAATCAATGCCAATCGACGCCAATTTATTATAAATACATACATATATCTATGTAAACGTTTTATGGATTTGTGTGTGCATACTTATGAATGTATGTATATATACACAAATACAATGCAGTTTCAATGAAATTGACAGAAAGTTAACGAAATAAAAATGCTTACTTGTTTGCATATACTTTTATGTACTTTTGGATGCACATACATATATATGTACATACATAGTATATGTTTGTCTAATAATTATTATGTACCTGTGCTGCTTTAAATCAGCTGTTTCAGTGATGTTACCTCACAATTATTGAATGACATTTGCTTTCTCTCGTTTTGGTTACGTTAGAAATACAAATACAGGTGCTCATAAAAATAAGCTCTCTTTGGCTAGCCAGGCAGTTATTAGTTGATTGGGTAAGAAATGGAATTGGAAAAAAATGTTAATAATAAAAGTTATTAGAATGCATTAATGCTAGCCAGAACCGCTACAACCACTAGCGAATCGTTAAAACAAAAAAAAAAACTAAACAGATGGGCCATTAGTGGTGTCTTCTCCCTATCCGCCTACGACTTTGATTGCCGCAAAACTTCAGAGCCGGAATAAAATCCTTAAAGCGCTAGCCGTCATCACCTGGAGATGAGATAAAAAACCCTTGCTAGCAACGTACAAAGCTATTGACCGACCGGTGGTTAACTTCGCTGCATTGATCTGGGACACTAACCACCTCTTTAAATGTCCCCTAAAACCAACACACCTAACCCCTTGTTAGTTTGGTTTCAACCCATTGAATCAATTCGTTTCCTGGACCTCGCGACAAAAAAAGATAGCAGTTAGGATTAAATATTTTATTATAAATATCTTTAAATCAATTTATATATGTATGTACAGTACATACATACATATATAGATATTCAAATTCATTTAATTCTCCTAACTGCTGAGCTAATATCATGAATATCATGAAACATTTTTATTTTCCCTTTTCTATGAAACCATCTTAATAACTCCGAACGGATGTTTACATCGGAAAAAAAATTTTCTTTAAAATAAATTACGTAAAATACGCATATGTGTTCAATTTTTTCGTGTTATTCGCATTCTCATACCTTCCAACCTTCATTGTTTGAATTGCATATATTCAGTGTAGTTGATTCTAAAAATAGACGAATGGAATTTGATTTGTAGTCCATTTAAGCTTGTTTATACATATGTTACATATATACATATATGTATATATATATACAGTGTAGTCATTGGCAGTATTGCTAATTAAATCAATAAATGCTACCATTTATTTATTATAAGTAGAGTCACGTGTGCCAGAATCGGTTGTATCACACATAAAATATATAAATATATGCATATGTATGTTTTTACTTATTTTTGTATACATTTATGCAGATGCATCATTACTAATTAATATTTCATATGATTTTGTAATCGTAAACAAATTGCTGTAGAACAAGACTTTTCTAGCGGACGCACTGGATCTGACATTAGAAGAAATAAATTTAAAATAAGATTTTATTGTGCAAAAATATCGCTTAATGTAAGCATAACATAGATAGACTTTGATAAAAATTTAAGGAAATATTCAATATCTTCGGAGATTTTCAGAATTCATATAAATATACAAATATTCGGTACTGTGTTGAAAATAATTTTATTCTATTTTTTTTTTTAATTTTTTTTTTTAATTTTTTTTTATTATTTTTTTTTTTTGTTAAAAATTTCTCCAACACAACGGATATTGTTTATGAATATCGATAACGCAGCTGGCTGCTTGAGTAGTGGCAAAATGGATGGCATACGTCTCCATTAACTGTTATTTTTCTGTTTTTTTATTATGTATCCATATTATTTATCGCACCTTGTAATATACATATTTATGTATGTATATGTATATTGGCTTATAATAAGCACATACAGTGCTGCAGAAAATAGAAGCACAGTAACAAAAAGATTGCATAACAATGAAAACTAACAAATTAAGTTTTTTAAACCCTCAGAGTGTTGAAATATGCAGCTATTTAGAAAAAATATCCATAATATTTGATTAAAAAAATGTAGTATGTATGTAAATGTACATATGTATATGAGTAGATTTTCTCCAATTAAAAAAGATAAAATAATTACAATGCTTTAATTTTCATCAGCACTGTAAGTTAATGTAGTATATTTATGGGAACCTCGCCGGTTTAACCGGCTCGCTCATCACACCAGAAATTGCGCATTTCGATCGTCGCGTTTTCTGTTTATTTTTACGTGCACGTCAGCCTCTTCCACTCGCAATTCAGAGCAATGTTTATTGTTGTGAAAAGGCAGCACAAATGCGAAAACACAATAGAGTATAAAGTGTGGCAGAAAATATGCCCTCAATTTCGTGACTAAATTTCAGGCAAACATACATATTTCTATTACGTCTACATATGTATGTACCTATGAATACGTATGTATGTAAGTGTGTACCTAAAGAGAAATCGCAATTTTTTTTTTAAGTTGCTTTTGTACTTATGTTTATTTAACAAATAGAATTGCATACAGACATACTTACATACCTTCACATATGTATTTCATTCCGAAATGATCCAAATTTTGAAAAATTGTAGGTTTCTGAACATACAATAAATGCGCATAATTTATTATGTCAATTTTTTTTTTTCTATAAAAATTATCAAAAAAATGTTTTTCATTCATTTATGTTATTCAAACAAAATTTTAATAATAAATATGTTTATTTCACTTTTTTTCACTTTTAAAATTTTTCCAACGAAACTTAACACCCTAATGTGCTATACTCATACATGCGGACATGTATGCTAATTATATAACAAATGACATTGCTGAGGTTATTGATTTTTCCAATTCTTTGTTGCTGTATAAAAAAGCTTCGTCTAAAGATAAGATCGCCAATAATAAATTTAAATATTTATTCGCACATGCAAATATCCATACATAACTTAACAACCGAATTTCATTATAAATTCGTTAAAAAATCGTCGTATATGTAAATTTTAGTATAAACTTGAAAACGAATCGTCTTTATTGAAGTACGTGGTTCTATTTTTATGTCCACCTGTGTGCCGTCTAGAAGTTTGTTGTTTTGCTTATTATCTTATCTATGCATGTATGTATGTTGGTTTTTGCTTTATACACACTTTTTATAGCGATTAAAAATATCTACACTTGTATCCACATTCTACTTTTTTACTTTTATTATTATTATTTTTTAATGTGCATACATTATACCTTTACGTTTGGTTATTTTCGAAATACCTATGCATGTATGTATACAGAATTTCGTATTTGTTTATGCTTTCTATTTTAGTTTGGTATTTTCTAAAGCGAAGAAATATTAAATTTATTAGTTAACCTGAAGAGAAAATCTATACCCAGAAATCTTAGCCAATGAAAACTGTTGATAATGCCGTCGATGCTGTAGAAATGCCTTTGAAAATAATTCAAAAGAATTTTTGAAATTTCAAAAGTTATGATGTTTTTTTGGCCGTCAGTTTAATTTATTACAACATTCTTTGCTTTCAATGCAGCTCTTTGTAAAACATTTATTCAAATCTCAAGGGCTTTTATAGAAATTCTGCATTTCAAACGACTTTTATGGTTTCAACAGACACCTGTCGGTTTCGGCGCGTGTTTCGGCTTTTACCTACAAACATCCGGACACACGTACATATGCATATATGTCTGTAAGTTTGATATTTTTGATTTAGCCCATTTTGTATTGTATTGTTCGTTAACTTTCTTTTTGCCGCAACCGAACGTCAATGGCAATTATATTCGCCCATTTATTGCTCTTATAAGCGTATGTATGTATGTACAAGCTACTAGCTACAAGCTACTTTCATTATTAGGAAACGAGGCGACCACATGTTCATCAACCATTGGTCTTTCAATTAATAATTGCTGTAGAATATTCCATGTTACATTCAGTGTCAAAAAATGAACTAAATTAATATATTGTAATACTTGTGTTTGTTGTAATATTATATATATGTAAATATGAATCGTGTCAAAATTTTGCCCTTTCTAATGATAAAACCTCCAATCTACAATACTCGAAAGAGTTATTTATTAGATTTTAATTAGAAGTCAAAGGAATTATCTTTGAGAATAGATAAAGTCCTTGTGCGAGATGCTGTCACCTACCCGTGCGGAGCGTTGGGTCACATCTAATAGAGAAATAGACTTAGTGAAGTCATTTCCACTAATTCGGTTTAAGGGTCCCCAGCAGGGTCTCAGAGGTGCGCCTGCGAACTGCCCGAAACAGGCTTAATCCAAGTCACCAAGGTCTTCTAACGGGTGGTCTAGGAAACGAGCTGTTTCGACGGGTTAAAGGGACAGGTGGGTTAGATGTGTTGGTTTTAGGGGGCATGTAATGAGGTTCTTTGTGCCTTACTCGGACTCGTTAAATACTGGACATGCGTTAGATATGTCGGGTCGAGTCTGGATAAGTAGAAGTTCCACCTGCTACAATACCCCGACGTAAGTTGCGCCTGCATTGCGCGGGTTATCGAGGCAACTTGAGCGCTCCGTCTGCAATAGGAGGGAAAGAACGGAACGTTCAAATACTTCAGCGGCAATATAAAGGAATGTAAATTCGATGTTGAATATCTAACTAAAGGGACTCCGCTGCAGATGACTATCGTTTACTCCGGTAAAGTAAAGTCTGAATGAAGTTATGAGGTGTACGATATCAATGCGAGAGCAGACACTGGACTGAGACTGATGGACTTAAAGCTGTATGTGTTCTTTTGCTATTCTTATTTTTCTGTCCCACAGCGTATTAGTGCTTCTGTCAGCGCTGCGTTGCTATTGCACAACAGTATTTATCCGCTGCAACGTAATATAATGCAACGTCGCAACTAGTTCGCCATCTCGTTGTTATTGTATGGCGAGACTCATTGCTTCTTGAGCGACAGACGAACTGCGCGTCACATTCTCTCACATAAATTTTTCAAGTATTTATCTACAGCCTCCTGCAATGTCCACATGAGCCCCACCTGCTTGCTGGTGGAACTGTAGAGGTGAAGATAATGTTTTGTTTACTTTGCCTATCTATTTGTCATTTTATTTTATTATTGCTCTACGCTCGCTGCGCTCTGCGCCTCTTCGCTGCTATGAGTGCCAATGATGATGACTTTGTATGCCTTAAAGCTTTCAAGCTCTCACCGGATTTCACGACTGCCTACCGGTCGATCTGCTTGACTGCTTCCCTTTGGCTGGCTGGCTGGCTGCATGGCTGGCGTGGGGATCTATTTTGTGCAAATATAAAAATCGTTAACATTCTTGGCGCTTTGTTAGTCTACAATCAGACGTTGAGCGGTGGAACTCTACCCACAGTTGTTAAACAGAAATAATTATATTAATTAATTTGGGAAACCAACAGTATTTTAGCACCCGCATTGTAAAGGGTTGTAAAGAAGTTAACTTGAGAATAAGTATACGCACAACAAAACTACATAAATGTGAAGGCTTTCGATCGAAGCCACAACCTTTTTGGTTCGTTTGAAACGCAGCTGTGATAGAATAAAAAACTCGAAAACAAAAATAAACACAAAACATTTGAAAGGAAATTGCGTACCTTTTGCATTGAGTTTGGAAACTTTGAAGTAAAAGATAAAATTCTAACTCTACGAATTTATACCTGAATTTATTTAAATAAAGAGAGGCTAATTTTGACTACAAAGCGTGTGATTTTGCCGCTAATATTTCCAAAAAAATAAATTAAGAAAACAGTGAAATGTGTGCGTGTCTGCAAAATTCAAATAATTCCTCCAATTTGGCGGGTATTAATAATAATAGCGCGTCGTGGTACGTCAAGTTACCAATGCTTAACAGTTATTTTGCATGATTCGTTTTTGCTATACACTTTTGGAAACTATTCGCAAAATCATAAATATTCCACTTTGTTAATAAAAATCTTTTTGCATGCCTAATTTATTTATGAATTCACAAATTTTCCAAAACTTGTTTTTTTTTTATTTATGAGCAATTAATTTAAGTCACTTGCATCGAATGCACACACCACCATTTACATAGTATGTATGTATGTATAAATATATAATATATGCATTCATTTAAATAAAAATTATTTATGAACATCAAGTCAATAAACGGCAACCACTGAGGCAAGCCGACGGTAGTCATTGTTTGACACAGCGAATTAAATACTTGTCGTTAACAATAACCTATTCAAAGCTCATTGAGCACATCTCGTACAAGCATACTCGCACATACTAGTATGTTCTATAATTCCAAGTGTGAGCCCACTTGTATCCATCGTACGTGACAATGCTGTAATTGAGCTAAAGAGAAATTGCAAATTTTAAAAAAAAAAAAAAAAAAAAAACCAATTCAAGTAATTGCCTGTAACAGCAACGACAAGTTATAACATTTGAGTATCAGCATCATATCGCAATCGTCACTGAATTGGCTGTAGATGAAACAAAGCCCATTGGAAAGTAGCACCCTTTTGAACAATACAACGATGTTTTTAATACAGAATAATATTACACACACATAAGCATGTGTTAACAAATAGGATTTTTATAAGATAGAAGTCATGACCTAAAGGAAAGTATTGAAGATTCCTGCGAATACTAAATGATTGGTCAAACATTTCACTGAATTATTGACAAAATATTTGTTCGCTAATTTAATTATACTATGTAGCCAAAAAAAAAAAATACTATTTAAATACCTGTATGTGTGTACAATTGTATATTTTAAATATATACATATATGAATGTTTATACCAACTTGATCGGTATGTATCATGTACTATAAGTGCGAATTCAAATCTTTTGCCAAATGCGCAATAGTCTTTCTTTTATGTTTTGCGTGCCATTTGCGCTACTGAAAATTTCTCATATTCCCCACAATATCCTTGGTTGCCTCTTTTGTTGTAAATTTTCAGTTTGGCTAAATTTAATATTGTTTACAAAAACCGTATCCCATCCGATCTTTAGTGTACGCATGAGGTTTGTATTTTTATATGTATGTATGTGTTTGTCCACATGTTTTGTTCATATACTTTTTAAGAAATGTTTAAAATACAAAGTCTAAAATCAAATGAAAAGACCAATAGAGGTCCAATATATAATTTTTATACTATCACGTACTTGATATCAACAAATTTATTCGTTTATTTGCAACAGTAGTGTAATTTTGGCCAATGTTTTACTTAAAAAAAATTTATCATTTGTTTGTACAAATGTTTCAAATTTTATTTTCCTCTTGTAGAATGTTACACATGTTTTTATGTAATTTTGTGTATGTATGTAATTGTCTCGTTGTCCTAGGCCCAAATGGCTGCCCTGTCGATTTATATTTAATTTTATATGTTTGCTTGTTTTTGGTGATGGATCTAATCCGATCTATATCCACAAAACGAATGGCAAAATGAAGAGAGCTATCCATCGACAGTCAAGTTCTTAAAATATACTGTCATGGAATTGCTCTTTTTGTATAGTATTCGACAATCAACGAATTTTACTAAAAAAAAAATGATGTGTGTTTGTATTTCTGTATGTCCAGTTGCTAAAAAAAAAATTCTGTAATTTTACCTATGTATGTAGTTCTGAATTATCTACATTTGAATAACTGTCCACACCAATTTGATTTCACATTCGTTTTATTGGTCACATACTTTAAATAGCAAACATGACTTTTATGTTATATTATTAACTTCATTTTAATCCACTCTTAATTTAAAGAACTTAATTAATTTTTTAAAGACCACCACGTCCTCTTCCACCCGTTGGTCCTCCCTGCCATGCGCCACGACCACCTCCAGGTGCTCCTGTTGGCGGTCCACCCCTGCCGCCACCACCTGGGCCACCACGTCCTCTTCCTCTTGCTGGAAATAAAATCAGGAAGTTATAAACATTTCACTCAAATTTTCTTTTCAAGTTACCTTGCGCGCGTAATATCGCAGCCTTTCCTCTGCCAGCCGTCCCACCTAAGCCTTTGCCCGTTTGTTTTTTGAACATGGGCGCATTCTTCAACATGTCGGGCAGTATAAGGAAACGGATTTTTGAACCTCGAATATACACATTCTCCATGTTTGCCGTTCGTCCATCACGATGTGTGACTGTGATTTGTGTCATTTGGCAGTTCATGTTGTCTTCCGCCTCAATAAGTTTGCCCCGGTAAACCTCGCCGGTTATTGTCTCACATGTGATAATATGACCTTCAGCCTCATGTAGAACTTTTATTGGTACGCCAATAGACATTTTTCTCCAATTATTATTATTTTGTACGAATTTAAAACGTATATTTATTTATAAACGTGCTAAAATTTGCCCTTTTTACTCTTTTACTGGAACGGCAACGAAAACGTTTACACTCGTTTGACAACCGAAAAGCAACTCGCTCGAGTTCGCCATTTTCGTGCTGAATTTGCTTGTCGCTATGCTTGACAGACAGTTTTTGTGACACTGGAAATGGCTTATAGCTAATGGCTTTCAAACTGTGGTATTTTAATTAAATTTAACTCATGGAAGTTTTAAAAAATTAGATGCATGACCACTTTTTGAGTAAAGTTGAACTGATTCCACCATGCTTGTTAACGAAGAATACATATTACAAAAATTATGTAAATAAGTAGTAAAAATTGTTTAACTTATGTATATTAATTCGGCTGGCTTAGAATTCTTTGGAATGTTATATGGCTTATTTAAATCTTACCTAAATAACGTCAAATAATTTAAGACATTCACTTCTTGTTCTAGTCGAGTAAAATCATATAGCACGATTTGTTTATCATAATCTTATCTTGGCTCTATTTATGTTTACCCATTCTGACTGATTTTTAGTGCATCATCACCACCACCACCAACACAATATCGAGGTTGAATAAATAAAGATATTGCTAATTTAAATATTTGTAATGTTCAAAATAGAACAAACAAGCTGCATGTACATCTGATAAAATGATATAGTTATCTCACAGCATCATAAAGTAATAAAGTGTAACTGAGCTAAATATGTATGTAGATATGTACAAACATTCGAGAAAATTCCACAAAACAAAAAAAACGCCTCATATTTATTTATTTTTTATTTTATTTTAATAATAATAACAAAGCATTAGTACAATAAGATTTCCATATCTTTTTTAGTACAACAGAGATAGTGTGAAGAATAAGTAAATATTACTTTACAGATACCTTAACAAAAATAATAATAATTTGGAAATGAAAACGTTTTTGCTGAAATGAAAAAATATAGTTTTTGAATAATAGAATAGTAAGCACTTATCACTTAAATTTCCTCATTAACTCGCATTAACTGCAATTGAGATTCTTGTTGAAAAATTAAAAACCAAATTTTATATTATAAGTATATTCATATGTACATTATTTCATTTCCATATTTCGATTTTTCAGCGACCCAACGTTTAGTAGTAGTATCAGTAGTAGAAGAGAAGTTAATGAAAATGCTCTTGGCTACCCTAGCGTATCCAAGGTACGCACCGTCTCTTCTTCTTCTTGCGCCACCAACATCTCGACTGAGTCCTTCTGTATCTCTCTCGGCGTAGGGCCTCTGTGGTGGTTTTGATGTCCCTACCCACCACAGAACTGATCACGATAGGGCGTCACTCTTAACTGGTACGTTGACCACAAAAAAAAAATGAAAATTTTCATATTGATACAAATTTTTCTTTCTCTATAGATTATTCTCGGAAGATTTCTGTGGATTCAGCTGGTGGCAATGTATTCGAACACAACCGCACTTCTTCGGAGTGCTCTGATTCGGATAGCAGCGATTCACAGCTTAGCGGTGATGCACAGTCACTATATTCGGAGGAAGATTGTCAAGAAATGGTAAAACATATCTTGCAGCATGATAATCCAACTCGCATTACCATCAAATTGCACGTAACTGAGAACAAGTATACAGCATGGGAATCGGTATGTTTACTAATATCAAATTAAAAGCATAAATAGTATTGATATGATAAATATACATATTATAAACATACATATCATACTTTATAATTTTTATCTCACCTTTTTCTGTAGGTTTTAAATCCGGTAAATAACATTCTATACGTTGCAATGCCGGAAAAGCTTCCACCCGAGGCTTCAAAGGACACATTCATCTCTTTGCTAGAGTTTGCAGAGGAAAAATTGGATGTGGATGCAGTTGTTTTGTGTGTACGCAAGAATTTACCAGATCGCGGTTCTTTATTCGAGACTTTACTGATCATGGGTTTCCAACCCCTGTCTAGAAAGTCACCGATGGCTCCACCAGCTACTGCTAACGATTCTGAGAATTACTTCTTCATTTACCATATCGAAGACTAAGTCGACATACATACATAGTAACATCTTTATATATGCATGTGGCGCTAGTTCATTCAACAACAAATATCATACATAAGATCTTTTAAAGGGACAAACAAATAAAGTCTGGGTAGGAGATATTAGAGCGCGCATGCAATATGTCGACTTGAAGTAAAAAGTTAAGAGTAAAGGCAAAAATATCGTATTTTATTCAAAATTTATCACAGAAAAAATAAAATAAAATGTAAAAAAAATTATAAAACTGAAAAAATCCAAAAAAAAATACTGATAGGAGAATTATATAATCAACTTCTACTCACATGAACTCAATATTTTATGTTTCAATTATTTTACTAACAAAAGAAATGTTTTGATTTACCATTATTATTTTGATTTCGATTTTCAAATTGAATTATTTTTATTTCATTAGTCTTACAATAATTTTTATAATTGATTTAAATTTTGAATTTACTTAATTTCAATTAGAATTTGAATTATTTTCACTTTTACTTAGAACCCTTTTTGTGAATTACCATTATTATTTTGATTTCAATTTGAATTTTTGAATTATTCTTTTTTATTTTTTTGAAATATTTTATTAAATACTACTATTATTAATATTTAGGCATTTCTAGTTATATATGCATTACTTTTATTTTTATTTGCACTACAAAACATTATATGAATTACCACTATTACATACATTTGAATTTGAATTAATTTAATTTTGATTTACAATTACCTTTTATCAATTACATACACGTATAACATAAAGATCCGTTTTTGTTACAAAGTTTTGCAACACAAAATGAATATTATTTACTCATTTTCATTAAAAAATTAGCAAACTTTTCACAAAACTAAATTATTCCGTAAATTATTAAATTCATCCTAAAATTAATACACCATCAAACTTTTCTTAATTATATTGAGACCTATCGTGAAATTTATGAAATTCTCAATACAAAAATTGAAAAAAGAGGAAAGATTTAACAAATTTTAATTCATGATATGGTCCATTTTATTTTATATAACTAGATATTTAACAGGAAACCACTAACACATATTTATATAAATTATTTAAAGCCTACTTAAACTTATGTAATAAAACGGATAAAAAAAGCAAGAGTTAATTTTTATTTCATTGTATAATAACGTAAAACAAGGTAAATAGCAGGTGGGTTGTAGAATAGAGGGATGGGTTGAATATTTATAATTGACGCTATGTAACCGCTGAAACTATTTTCGTCCGAGCTTCTCTAATTTTTTTTTTTGATTCTATATGTTTCCCCAACAAATGAAGGTACCAACAGTTTATACTAAGCCGTCTCCGAACGGCTGATGGTTTTTCAGGAGGGGCCTTTACTTCATGTCAGAAATACACTCGAAGAGGTTGACATAATCTGCCGAGGGACTACTGCGATTAGAAAATTTAACTTAGATTTTTGCTTAAATTAATTTTCCTTAACGTTTAACTAGTGTATTCTAAACAGACCTTTCCTCAATCTCTCTGTACTAATACCTTCCATGCCATGTATATACGAAATTGTAGCTTCACATCCGAAATGAAAGCTGATGGAGAAGTCTGTCTTTTTATGTGGCAGTTTCCGGTTTACTCCATCGTCAATAGCCAAGTTTATCAACACTTTGACAGCCACTTGAATCTGCATATGCCTTCAAACTGAGCATGATTGACAGTATTTAACATACATGAAAAAATTAAATAATAACTAAATACTTTATTTCGGCAAACGCTAAAAATCAAATTATTTATTTAAATTAAATTATATACCTACATTTTTTTAAATATGACTGCTCCCCCTTTCGACAATTATGAAAAACTAAATATTTATAAATTATATTCAGTCAATATGGTAATATGACAGCTGGTCAGCGCAGAGAATGTAGAATTTTTTGCTATTTTTTTATTTTAGCCAGCGAATGTAAATTTAACATTTTCTGTTTTAGCCTTCTGTTATCATTCTTCATTGATAACTTATAAAATGGTAAATAAACAAATTGTGTGTTTTCTAAATTTTTTTTTCAAAATTTATTTATTTACAGTCAGTAACATTACATACCGACGTAGGCGACATAAAAATTGAACTTTTCTGTGAAGATTGCCCTAAAGCGTGCCAAAATTTTTTAGCCTTATGTGCTAGCGAGTACTACAATGGTTGTGCCTTTATACGGAATATAAAAGGTTTCATTGTACAAACTGGTGATCCTACGAATACAGGAAAAAATGGAAAATCAATTTGGGGAGCAAAATTCGAAGATGAATTCAAAGACACGCTCAAGGTGGGTTTTATTTTTGTAATATCTCTAAATTCTTTTAAATGTATGTGTATTGTTCAGCATTCCGATCGCGGGATGATCTCAATGGCAAATAATGGGCCGAATGCAAACTCTAGCCAGTTTTTCATTACATACGCGGCACAACCTAATTTAGACCTTAAGTACACCCTTTTTGGAAGGTTGGTAAATATATTTTCACCGCATGACTTATTACTTAACAGAACTATTTTATAGAGTAATTGATGGATTCGATGCTTTAGACGAATTGGAAAAACTACCAGTGAATCCGAAAACTTATCGTCCTCATATTGAGAAGAAAATCAACAGTGTTACTATACATGCGAATCCCATAGCCGGATAAAGACGGCAATAGTGGAATTATTAGTATTTATAAAAATAATATTGATAAATGAATCCGTGGCGTGGATGAAATACAAGATATTTATATTTTGTTTTGCACAATACAATACAAACAGTTGATTTTATTTGTTTGTTAAACGTTTATACAGTTGAAACACTTTAGAGAACTAAAATTTTCCTACAAGTCATTTAGATATACAAAGATCTTCAATATACGGACACAAAGTAAAATGCGTTTACAAAAAGTTAATATTAAAATATATGACAAGTTTACTGATATATGACGACATATAGAAAAGCCAATACCAAAAACACTGTGGCCAACACTAAATAAAGTCGCAAATTATATTTTCGATCCAGCGCAATTAGTAACTGGCGGAAAGACTCAGTTACGGAATCTTTGGCAGGACGACGCCCAGTAATTTCATGATGTTTTGTACGGTGTAAAGCGCGAGGTGAGGAGTAATCAAAACCGCTGGTGCTAGTTTTACTTAAACTCACTCCATCTGATTTGATTCGATTCAAGTTGCGTGCAAAACTACTCAAAAACGGTGTTTCATAATCCTTGTCTTCTTCATTCTCGTCACTCTGTTCATTGTACTGCGGTGCAGGTTTTGAGGTATACATTCCAGTAGATAGCGTGTTTGTGCTGTAACGTGAGTGTAAAGGGTTTGATGATTCCATACTAACTCCCGAGTTCTTCTGTATCAAGTTCGAATACAGACTATAGCGACCAGTGTTCGCACTTATTTGTGGCTTGTATATTTCGTGAGATAAGCCCTCAGTTAGCGACTTCCGAATGGGAAACTGCAAAGAGAACCATTATATATACAAAATTTTACTTTAATCAAAAGATCCAAACAAACCTCAGGAACTTGGGACGATGGCTTCGAGAAGTCCTTACCGTAGGAGGTAGTTACTACACCCGTTTTCGTTAAAGATATTGATGATTGTGATGTAGAGGAACGAACATCAACTTCTCGCGTAATTGGTGCTTTTGTAAAATGTTCTGTCTGCTCAGCAGCTAACACCAAGTAATTATCTTCTTCATCGCTTTCTGGTATAACAATTTGATTTAAGTTCTTGGATGATTTGTACTCCTTTTGAGATAGTGGAATTTCTTGGGTAGAACGACGACGTGCGCCTATTGGAGCTGCTAAAGTGCTTTCTATTGCCTGATTTTCATTTGCTTTTTGCGATTCAAATGTGGATCGTCTACGAGATCCTATTGGCGCCGGTGTTGGTCCTTCTGTTTGTGGATTATCAATAGTTTTTTGCGAATCAATTGTAGATCGGCGACGAGAGCCAATTGGTGCTGCTGTAAGGTTTTCCGTTGTTACATTTTCAATTACTTTTTGAGCATCAATTGTTGGTGTACCAGCGATTGTACGCCTACTAGCTCCTCTGCTTGGAGTACGGCGTTCGGGCTCAGCTTTCGCATCGGTCTTTGAATCTGTTACCTCCGATACTTTCGAAACATGAATGGTCTCTCGCCGTGGAGTCTTCTTAGATTGTGAAGCCGGTGACCCAGACAAAGTAGCGCGTAGTTTCTTTATCAATATATGGCGACTGGAGTCCGTAATTGGCACATTTGGTAAGCCATGTTTAATGCACTGTTTTCGTAGATCTGCGTTGCTTAAAGACTCCAAATTATCAATTTCAGACATTTTTTGGCGCTATAATTATGCACTTTCCCTATGTCAGCCTTTTACCTTTTGAAATGTTCGCTACGAATTTGCGCGTTCAAATATTTCACAAACGCCATTTTCGTGAACCTATCAAGCGCGAAATGTACTAAATTTGGTTTTGCCAAATGACTGATGTACGTCAATCACTAAACATTTTTAAAGCAATTTTATGGATCTGTGAATTCTAACTTTTGGTGCTCTTTCATTAACTGAGTGATTTCAAGAAATAAGTAATGGTTTCTAATGTATGAAATAATTTTTTTTCAAAAGTTATTCTGGTACTTAAATTAAAAAAAAGGCCCCTCAAAGTCAATCGAATATGGGCAGCCCTGTTGTGGTTAAAGCAGTGCAACGGATAAATAACTTTTTTGTATTAACAGCTGTGTATTTGTCATCTTGAAGTTTTATTTTTTAACTACAAACAAAAATGGATATTTCTAAGGTATCGAACGAACAAAAGTTAAAGTTATGCCGAACATACTTCTTGGGTATGTAATACATATGTTCTACATAAATAATTAAAATAATGTTTAAAAAACTAAAAACTTCCTTCAGCTGGTTGGGCTTTTCTACCATTTGTGTGGACCATCAATGTTTTCTGGTTTTTCAATGATGCATTCCGAGTACCTCCTTTTCCCGAGCAAGCAAAAATCAAAAGATGTAATATAGTTTACCTCATTTCATTATTTTATTTAACTTTTGAAATATCTCGCAGTTGTAATACTATCGCTCATAGGCGCAGTGATTTGGGCAGCAATACTTAGCACTTGGGTGATTATATTCCAAACGAAACGCGCTGAATGGGGAGCTATGGCTGACTATATGAGCTTTATCATTCCTATAGGAAAAGCCTAAACATAAGTTTATTATTTCTTTGCTATAGCATTAAAAAATTTGGTACAACATGTGACGTTATTATTACTTTTTTCATATTATATATTAATCAACATAACTAAATACATAAATATATGCATATTAACTTGGAACCTCTGTTGTTGCTTGCTTACTCTGCAGTTCCTTCAGTTTCTCTTCGAAATAAGTTTTATGCACAGTTAAAGGCAATGACTTCTGACGAATAAAGTAGTTTACATTGCCTCTGGCTGTGTAAGTATCATCACCAATTAGTTCACGAAGTGCCATATTTTTCTTTAAAAGTTTATCATAGTAACCCGCGCCTGCTTCCACGAATTGCGGGCCAAGGCCGCTTAATTTTTTGTCTATTTCAGTGTCATAGTTTACTTGATTAAAGTCTTTTAAAAACGACCAAGTGCCGACACCAAACAAACCCAATATGGAATACATAACAAGTCGCAACTAAAAATAAAAGAAATTAATTTTAACATAAAGTACATGCGGTTATCCATAGGGTAAGATATCATACACTAAAAGGTCGCGCCAAAAGATTCATACGCATATTCAAGTAATGTCCGACTGTGTACACTGTTAAAAACGAAACACTTGGAAATATTGAGTTCAGTAACACTCGATGGGTCTGTAGTTGCAAAATCGATTTACATAATCCAAATATTTGCTCATCCTCAGTCAAAACTAATGCTTCTTGCAGTATTTTTCCAGCTTCTGAGTTCCAATCAATGCCTTTGTCACGAAAACGTATATCTTGTCGCCTTATTTCCTTCGCTTCATCAAAATCAAAATTTACCGGTATTCCTAATGCAGCTCCAAACCGATACTTAGTCGAACCTTTCAAAATATATTAAAGTAGTCAATTAATAAACTAAGCTGTAAAATTTGTGGCATCTAGACAACTACCTGCTTGGAAAAGATCAAATCCATATACACTAAATGGTCGTATAATTTTGCGTTCATGCTCCTCTAATTTTAATATTTCGAATGCCTTATCAAGTCGCTCCTTCACCTTGTCGGACACCAAGCGTGGTATACCATTTCTCAAATAGAAAACATAAAATATTGTAAAAATTCATAAAACGTGAGAACATACATATACATATATTCGTTAAAATAGCTTACTGATAGCTTTGAACGAATTCTTTATAGCGTTTTAAAAACATTGTATGCGGCATAAAGTTAACAACAAATAACCCCAAGGTAGTAGCGCCAGTCGCAACCACTGTCACATTACGTCCTAGTGGGGTTTGAAAAAAGCCCAATATGCCACGATTTAAGTTTTGTGTTTTCTTCATTTTAATTCAAATAAACTTTGTATAAAATTACGAGTTATAAAACTGATGTTATTGTGCCGAATTTAACAGCTGATTGTAAGGTTACAAAAATTCCTCAATTGCATAACGTGCTGTGGGACAAGCTGTGTTTAGTAGTCATACAAATTTTGTTTTGGCTTGCTTTAATTGATTTAAAAAATTAATTAATTTTATCAAAGGTGCGAAACTCACAACAGTTTACTGATTTTTCTTTGAAAAGCCCATCGCACTAAAACGGAAATTTTTTTGTGCTTTAAATATTATTCTTTAAATGAATTTTTAATTTTGAGGTAGCCTCCATCTTTTCTTAAGAATATTTGTATATATAACTTCAGTAGATATAGACAAAATACTCCTAATTCGCTCAAGATTTCTGTAAGGTCCTTAACTTGTTCCATCAACAAATTTTCATTTGATTCGCAATACTTTCTGGTACTCACAGGCTTAAACGTGAATCGAAGGCATGTACTTCTTTTAATTAGGTCTGTTCGTGAGTGTGAGTAATATTAGTAAGAATTAGCAATTTTTACCGGCTTTTGACTTACCGAAGGTGGTTCCGTAAAATTCAGTGAGAATTAATACTTCTCAGCTCACCGAACAGAACTATTACTTCTCCGCTATTACTATCTCTCAAGAGAAGTTTAAACCCACAATCGCTTGTAAATATTATTATTATTGGCTCTCAAACTTTTTTTGTTGAAGTCTATCGGGTATTTTTTTATGGAGAAATTTTTAACTTAATTTTTAAAAGTGATTTTGATTAACTTACTTTTCTACAGCTGAAGGTTTGACAGTTTTATCGAATTCGGGCATAAACGAATCTCAGATTTATTCTGCCGCGGCCGCGATTGCCGAGTGGTTAGCGCTGTGTAATGCCATTTGGAGCGCTCGGGTTCAAATCCTGATGCGACTAACATTTAAAAGTTATAAAATATTAATTTCAATAAAATATTCCTCTGATTGCGGTCGACCCTCGGCAGGGCATGCCAACCCCTTCGAGTGTATTTCTGATATGAAATAAAAAAAACAATCAGCCGTTCGCAGGAGTTCAGAAACACAACCACCATAAGCGACCAATACAAAAAAGTATGACAAGGATCAGCCGTCTGTAAATGACAGTCCAAAGAAACGCAAATAATGGAAATGTTAGTACATAAGTCAAGAGGAGTGTGGCAATTTGTTCCGATCAATTCCTACCAACTGAGCACCTTTTGTGTACTGAATCAATAAAGCTAGCAAAATAAACACACAGGAAAGCACCAAAGAAAAACGAGAACAATTTTGTCATCTCTCCGCAAATATTTATGTAATGAATCTACCGACTCTGTGATCTGATCGTTCTCCATTGATCCCCTTCAACCTTAAACTGACAACTTGCAACCAAATTAAAGAGAATAAGGAAGATCACCACAATGTATATATACATGTATGTATGTATGTATGTGAGACGCGAGAATTGCATAGGAGCAAGCTTTCTTGTACATTCTTACATATGTATATACAAGTACATATGTATGTACATATGTCTGTGAAATAATCGCGCACAGAGCCGTCACAGATTACGACGCGCCGCCGTGCCACAAAGTCGTACAAATAACACCATTGTTATGTCACGGCAGTGTCGCGGCTGGTCGATTGGTAGACAAATGGACAGGCAAGCAGACAGACAAATGTGTAAAACCTCCGCCCTCTCGTCGGCACACCCAGGAAACATACAAAGCACAACATCATACAAATGTACATATGTTCACACATACTCGTCCTCTGTACTGTTTCCTGAGCAGCACTCCTGCCGCGACCGCCTCTAAGCAGCCCTGCTACACAAACGATGCGATACGACGAGATGTGATCCGATATGACATTGAAGTGCATCGTTCAGATACTTGGCGCATATTCAACAGCAGTAGACGACAACGCAACGTCAACGACGACGACGACAACAACAATAACAATAACAACAACAACAACAACAACAATGAAAACAACAACAATGGCAACAGCATCAGCATCGGCATCATCATCAGCAACGCCACAGCTAGCGACAACGATAATCAGTCCACTCAGTAAAAGCAACAATAACAACAAAATGCCACCACACAACGGCAGTGGCAGTAAAATCGACTAAGCACAACAAAATTATTCCAACAACAAAGACAACAATGTAGACAGTGAATGTACTTATACACATGTATGTATGTATGTATGTATGTATTTGAGTAAAATTAAGAAAAGTAAAAGAAGTTTTGGATATACTACATACAGCACAATATGAACAATCACAGATACAAAAACAATAACAAATAGTGCGCCAAAGTCAAGCAAATATGTACAATTATACATATGTTTCAGCATACATACATACGTAAATACAATCTCTCTCCCAGCAAACATTATTTTTCAGCATCGGCTGGATGATTGATGATGATGAGTTTGAAATTTTTTTTCTTTTTTTTTTGAAATAAAATTCATTTTTCAATCCAGCGAAATGGGATAATGTATTTTTTTTTTAAATAAATGATTTCACTTTCGAAAAATTTCGTTTAACTTCTAAAAATCTATACAATATCTTCGCCGCACGAACACTCCTATTTATGAACTTTTCTATTCGGCAGCCAATATGGCTTTATTCGTACGAATTGTGAGGATATTTTTGACATCAGTTTTGATCAGAGAACGTATAACATAGAGAAGGTGCAAAGCCAGCGTTTCTGACATTTCTGGCAGAAAAATTTCGTTTGATGTAATCGTCATTTCCTTCTCGTCTTGAATTTCTGTTTCACCTCGATATGAAAAATTAACAGAATTGAGCGTATTCAAACACAACAGAGAACTAAAATCTATGCAAATGTAAATTAACAGCCGCTTTTATTTACTTTTATCACATATAAATGACCAAATTGAATTCAAATTTGAAATCATCAATTAATTACTGATAAAATTTTAACAATTTTTAATAAATGTGTATTTCTTAAGGACAGTATCATTTGTTAATGATTTTAATTTCTTTTAGATGAGCTTTTGCATATACATGTGTACATATACTCACATGCTTATTATGTACAAACATATGCATATGTGAAAACAAATTACTCCATCCCTCTAAATACTTCTCTTATCTAAAAGCTCAGAATTAAAATCAAATACAACAATAAGATTCTCATTCATAGACGCCTGCGCCCTACAACAAATCAAGTGCTTTCATTCATAACAAGTTGCTTCTTTGCTGCGTTGACAAAAAAACAAAAAATCGGAAGCAAATATGGTCGCGAAAAGTTAGGCAACAACAACATACAGTAGTATGCATGCCCTTCTTCCTTCGACCCGTAACATTCATGTATTGCCGACATGCATTTCTTCAAATTTTTGCCACTGACAAAAATTCAATCATCGTCTGCAGAAATGTAGCAAATCGACATCGTGCTACTAAATTTGCTGTTCGCCTGTTAGCTCATATTGCCCAGCAAGCAATTTCCTTGCCTTCCCGCATGCACCCTGTCCACAAGATAAGATGAGATTGATTGTATATGCAAGGATTGCGTGCTAAATTTCTAAAATATTCTAAACATTCCAGAAGATTCTAGAATATTCGAGAATATTTGATTTCAATAAAGAAAAGTAGAATAAGCATAAAAGCAACAAAAACAAGTAATGCATGCAAACCCCTCTTTCCTTCAACTCTTCATCAACAAACAGTTTCATGAAGTCAAAGTCAAATTTTGCAAAAATCCAGAAATTGAAGTTGAGCAAAAATCACAAACCCATACATTGACAGCTTCATATACATGTACAAATAACCAATACAAACAAAGTATTGTGAAATCTCTTTTCCCTTGCTCCCTCCACCAAAAAGCCGTTTCGGTCAGAAATTTTGTCAAAAGTTAGAAATTGATGCTGAACTTGCGACAAAGTGGAAACCCATACACTCAAGCAATTCAATATGTATACGTTAAACGCACACAATCTTAATAGCTCGCATGCCCTTCCTTCTTTCACCCCGCTATCCACAAACCTCTACTTCGCGACGATGACAAAATATCAGAAAAATCAGAGTTCAAGTTGGTCTGAAGTTGAAGACACATACATTCAAAGAGGACAATGTGTACACGAAAAACAGACACATGCACAAAAACTTGCAAATTCTCTTCCCTTGTACCCCGTCATCCACGAACGACTTCTTCGGGGCGATGGCAAAATTTGCAAAAATCAGAAATTCAAGTTGAGCTGAAGTCAAAAACAAACACATTCAAAGGTGACTGTATGTATATGAAAGACCCATACATACATGAAATCATGAAAAACACAAAATTTTCATTCATAAACGCATGCGCCCTACAACAAAGCAATGTGTTCATTCATAAATACCACTGCTCACAGGACGGTCACAAACTCATACATGTAAGGAAGACTAAATTCGAGTGCAAGCGATATTTTCCGCTGATATTAAAATGTATGAGACATCTCAGTTCTTACTCGAGCTATCGTGTATAGAGATGGAGGGACAGACATTCCTAAAACAATGTATATCACCATTCCACGAAGTTTTCTACATAGTTATAAATTCTTACTTTGATTATTTTAAAACCGTTAGCAAAACAAATCCAATGCACTCTGGTCACATAGTATAGCCGGGTATAAAAAGTCCCGTAACAAAAATTAGCAAATCGTACATCTTCCCGAAATGTGAAGCAACAGCAATCTACATTGGTATGTGGCATACACTGGCATTGCTTCAAATTCTTGCGACTTTGACAAAAATTCAGACTTTGTCTGCCGAATTGAAGCAAGTCGGCATCGTGCTGTTAAATTTGCTGTTTGCCTATTAGCTCATATTGGGAAGCAAGTAAATTCAAGTTGTCTGTCCTCTGCGTAAGCTGGGCAAAATGCAAAAATTCTAGATTTTAGGGATGAAGTGCGAATCCTAAGCTAAAACAGAAAAAACGCATTTTTCCATATACTAATGAGATTGCTTGCGTAAGTCTATACGTTCTCTGTTTTGATAGCTTTTTTTGCGCTTTAAGCATAAATTTGATTAACTGTCACCTATGACAGAAGTCGGTGCCAACAACATCCAAAAGTAATGGAAATTTAATTTAAATAAAAAATTAAGTTAAA